ACACATACCCTATAAGTAGACCAATTTCCATTGCGAGCATGCTCAACTACACTAGGATTTTATATGGGATTCCTTGGAGAGATTCTCTTATGTTTTTTACCTATTCCCTATTACTCTTTATTATTCAACTTTACAGAGTATCTTGTAGTCGTGTACTTTTATTTTGCTTGCATTAATTTCTGTTTCATTTTTTTTTTTTTGTTTTTTTTTTTTTCTTGCAAGTGCAGCGGTATTTTTAGAGCAAGCTAAAGCGGGTTTTTGTGCCAGCAGCGACATTTTAACATTGCTTTGTCACGCCCAGTGCAAACTCCGTTGCTTAGCCGCCCCCACCTTACGGCCCTAATGAGCGCCGGTTTTTTTTCGCGTTTTATTTATATTTTTTTTATTTTTTATTTGCCCATGCGAACTTAAAGTCGTTGCAAACTCTTGTGCGCAAGGCACAGCCGCTAATGCACCCGTCTGCTCATTGTGTTATTTGTTGGTGTGGGGGTCATAAGAATCGGTTAGTGGGAGAGGGGGAAGGAAAAAAGAGAGAGTCATGCAAAGAGATGCTGTGTGCATGTGTGGACTTGTGTTAGTTATGCAATTCTGAAATATTTGCTTGTTTAGCTTTGCATATCTTTGCATCTTTTGCATCTGCTGTGCGGGTGATACAAGCAGCAGAAGGCACGAGAGCAGAAGGCACGGAACAGCAGTGTGTGAATGTCTGCCAGAGAGAAAGGCGAGTGGAACTACAACAGAAACAACTGCTGCTCCTGCTGCTGCTGCTTCTGCTGCTGCTCCTACTGCTGCTGCTGATAGTAACAAAAGTGCACTGCCACATACATATTTTTTATGCTGTTGTCTTTTCTCCACTTTCAGTTCTTTCAGTCTGTCTGTCTGTGTGTGGGTGTGCGCGTGTGTGTGGGTGTGTTTGTATTTGTGTTTTTGTGTGTCTGGTGTTTGGCATTTGGCTTTTTGCGCCCAGCCAACGGCCATTGAGGAAGCTGTAAAATAAATTTAAGGACTCCTGCTCTCGCTTTAAGAGCTGCCAGCCGAACGGCAAACAAAAACAGGAAGCAGCTCGCACTCAATCTCTTCTTGAATTGCTAAGTTGTCATTTGTTCAACAGAGTTGGTCGCAAAAAAAGAAAAACGCGTGGCTGTGGCAAGTTTCACTCCCGTTGTTCAGTGTTGTTCAGTGAGTGTTACCGCATTTAGTTGGAACAATAACAGACATCTGCATGGGGTCGAAAACTTTGCTGGCTGTGCGCTCCTGAATTTAAATGCGATTTTCCCGCTAGCTGAGTCTGGCGAACTATCAGAAGTGCTGAAAGAAGAGCTGATCTCCTTAAAGTGCAACGTTGAAAGGCTGCTGGCGTAAGCCATGCTAATAATGCCAACAGAAGCTTATATACAAAATTTTTGATATTTGCATAATTTCTCTTTATTCATTTTCACTTTCAAGTACTAAATATGAATTCTGATGATCCAGTGCTACAGTCAATTTATAGAGTTCCATCCGAGAAGTATTTAAATTTGAGCTCTTGCGACTGCCTCTAAAACAGTGCCACGCCCACTTTTAGCAATGCAACTGACGTGCGGTTAGAGCCACAAAATAAAGTCCGGCGCAATAAGTGCAAAATGTATAAAATATTATGCAAAACAGTTGCAAAAATTTGTGGCATGCATTTCACATCGAACTCTTGTAGTCTCTCTCTCTCTCTCTTGCGTTCACTCTTTTTTTTACAGTTCCCCTCGCTCTGTGGCAAACAATTTCTTGCCAGGTTTCGCCGTATTGTTACATTTCCGTGCACAAAATATGGAGAAATAGAAGAAAAATTTAATAGAAATGCACACAATTTTGTAGCCAACAACCTGGCCACAGTAACAACACCTGCAAATAGTGCCAGCAGCTGCAGCAGCAGCAGTAGCAGCAGCAGGAGGAGGAGGAGGAGGAGGAGTGTGGGCAACATAACAACAAAGAAGAAAAGAATATTTTTACTATGTCAGCGGCGCACTTTGGCAAAAGCGGAAAACGCCTGCACTTCCGTTTGCCACACACACACACAGACACACACACACTCTGGCACTGGGTGTGTGGCAACGGCAAAAGGCGCCGTGTGTTAAATTCATGACGTGCCAAAAAGTAGGCAACGCGAAATATTATGCATTAGCAGCTGGGCCCCCATCGTAGCCGCGGATGTATGCTCTATGATCCCTAATGCCTGTCGTGGAGTGGGAGAGGGGGAGGGGCGTTTAAGGAGCGCAATTTTTACAGCCCCCACAGACTGTGCGGCTTTATAACTTTATTTCTGCTCCAGCACTTGCAGCCCGTTGGCGTGTCGCGCTCATTTGCAACTGTTGGCAGCGCCGGGTCTACTCCAGAGGTCTATTCGATGACCCCACCCCCAGCACTAAGTGCAATAAAATTTAGTGCCACTTACTCGATTCGCACACCCTCAAGCCACCCGAGGAGTCCAAATTACTTGGCATAGGCGCGCGCTCATTGCCAGCCCCATCGAGCGACTGCTTCGCTTTGACTTACTTCTGCTGATTGCAGTTCTTTAAGTGGCAACTGTTCATTCTCTCGCTCTCTTTCTCTCTCTCTCTCTCTCTCTCTCTCTCTTTTCGAGGCTTCCCCTTTTTATTATTATTACTCTACACAATTGCAATTTTTGTAATGGACTTTGCATGTCGAGCGTCGACTTGGAATTTGTTCTCTTTGTGCTGTCCTTCCTGATTGCCAGCTGAGCACATTGCCAGTAATTTATTTCCGGCTTCTGTTCAGCGTTTAATTGCACAGATTTTCAAATTGACACATAGCTTGAATTCACGGCAGTTTGCTGGAAATATTGGTCTAATGTGAATCTGATCGGACTATTAGCAATGGGCGAGTCAAGATGCGCTTATGTAGCATTGACTCATGCTCTGCAATTAGTTTCATTAAGAGCGTGTCATACAGTCGAATTAATATACAGAGAGTACTAAACTAAACTCTTCAAGAGCAAAGCCTTTAATTTATGTATTAAAAATTCTTTAAGCTTGCATTTAATTTCTATTGATTGCAATCATTTAATTTGAGTACAGCGGCAATTATTTGTCTTCCTCTCACGCTCACACTGAGCTCTATTATAAATTAGCTGCCTTATGTTTTAATAATCACAGCTAATTATTTCTCATATTCCATGAAAAAAAAAGCTAAAATATCTATTCATTAATATTTACAATGTTCCATTTGCCGTTCATTTGTTATTCACTTTCAAAATTGCTTTCGCTCGGCTGTCAAGAGGCTTGACCAAGTGCTGCTCCTGGCAAGTTTCAAAGAACTTTTAATCAGGCTACCCCTTCCACCCACCAGCCGCCCACTTTAAGCTCTGGCTGGGCTAGTGCATGTACGTACATATATATATGCGTGTTTATAGATATATATTCACATTTGTACTTTTATATGGCGGTGCGTTTAGCAACAATTTCTTGGCTTCGCTTAATTGCCACACACACACACACACACGCACACAGAGCTGTTATAGTGCCCAATTTTTTGTGGTTGTGGGGCTAAAATAGGGTTCTGTGCCAACCCGTTCGACTAAGCCCGGTTGCCGGTTGCCGGTTGCCAGCTGGTAGTCTGGAGTGCAGTTTTCTTGCTAGTGATTTATTTTATGTCAACGTTGACATGTCAAACCATTCAAAGTGGTTTCGCTTCCGTTTTGCCCAGAGAGTTTCGCCAGTTCGTGGTTCGCAGTCCGCAGCGATAAAGCACGCGATTGCTCTTGTTCTTCCTCTCGTCATTGTTGCTGTTGCTGTTGTTAGTGTTGAGTGTGACATACTTATTGCGAGTGTAACCCATTGTTATTTGGCCCCGGCTTGAAACACAAGGCCCACAATGCCCAGCGTTGAGTTTTCTTTTTCACTATTGGCATTTTCGCTTTCTTTTCTTTTTTCGTTGGTTTTCGTTATCAACAATTGACTTAAGTGTTGTATGGCACATATGTATGTGTGTGTGTGTGTGTGTGTGTGCCTGTGGTTGTTTGTAGTAGCAGTTGTCAGCCTGTCGCTTATGCTTTCAATGCGAGAAAATGCCAGTTGACTGCCGCCTCCGCCTCCTGCTCCTGCTCCTCCTCCTGCTCCTGCTCCTGCTTTTTCTTGTGTACTTAACAATTGTTTGGCTATGCTGAAAAGCAGCTTTTTCTTTCTTTTGACTTTGTTTGCCTTTCCTTTGTCGCTCCCACTCTCCCTCTCTCCCTCTGTCTCTCTCTCTCTCTCTCTCTCTAGCTGTGTGCCTAGTCGATAATTTTTAATCCTTTTGTGCTCATTGTATATATATATTTGAGAAATTGACTGTGGCGGTTCCCTTCTTCATTTCCATTTGCCGTTTGCTTTCCATTGAGTTTTTATGTTCGTTGACTTTTGTGGCGTTCTCTCTCAACAATTACAATGCTGTTTACCTTATTTATTATTTGTTGTTTATGCGACGGCCCATTGTCTGGCCGCGCCATCTTCTGCGGATTGCTTTTCATTTCTTAAGCGCGATTTTAATTTCTGATAAGTTTCGTGCACGAAAATTTATGTTTTAACGATGCTTGTAAACTTTAATTGCTTATTGCAATTCATAGGATCTGCCCCGGGCCAAGTTCTATGTGGATCTGAATGCCAGAAAGCTCGCTTACTTACCGCCATAGACAACGCAGGTCACCTCCAGGCTGCCGCCCTCCTCGTAGGGTCCTGCTCGGGAATCGATGCGCATGCGACGCTCATTGTAAATATTCGGCTGATGCGGGGGCACTATAAATAGGGAATGAGAGTCGACCAATTAGTTGTGCGGCGCATCCATTTGCCCAATCAATTCCGGCTAAGCCAAAGACCCAAATTGACATTTTGAAAACATTCGCCAGCCACAAATCACATACAATTTGTGCATGGCGCAACATCAAAGGGAATTCTCCTGCAGCAAATATTTACGTATTTACATATTTACATACATATACACATGCGCATACGCACTGAATATGCCATGTTTACACACGCATGTAGATTTGCATATTAAATTGTTTGCTTTGCGGCTAACCGAAAAATCATTTCAGCTAATTTATGTGTGCAGTTCGCAGCAATAAAAAAGAAAAGGCTAATAATTGTTAATTACATTTTTTTATGTGCATCTTGACGTGCCAACAGGCAAATAATTTACATAAATTAAATATGATAAACCAAATGGTTGCATCAGTAAATTGTCAGAATTGAAACATTCCTTTTTTTGCATGCAATTTTTTCATGGATAATTTAAACTTAAAATAAAAGCAAAATTTTCTCTTTGCCAAAAAAATAATTAATTTTGCATTTTATTAAAATT